CTTCTCCCTCTGACCCTCCTCCCTCTCATGCTCTCTGTCTCTCATTCTCTCTCTCTCAAATAAATAAATAAAATCTTTAAAAAAAAAAAGAGAGAAAAAAAAGAAAACGTCTTGGAGATGTTTCCCCATTGGTGCATAGAGTCCACAGTCTTTTTTTGTGATTTCATAATATTCTACGGATTGTGCAGTTAGGCTCTGACTGACTGGGCCACCTGGCCTCCTGGTCAGACCGTTCCCGGTGCTTCTCCATATGAACCATGCTGCTGTGGACATAAGCCGCTATTACAGTCAGGGATGAGTTTATCAGCAGAACGAATTTCTGGGAGTGGGGCCGCTCGGTCAAAGAAGAGGTGCCCTTTAGATTTCGATCGCTACTGCCTACCTGGAGAGTGGCGGGCCGGCGTTTTCAGAAGGACAGGAGATCAGGCAGCTGTCCCCTGGGGGCCACGTTGGGATGCTAGGCCAAGGGGCCCCCGGCTCTGCTGCCCCTCAGTCAGCCCGCTGGAACCTGGCTCCTCTCTGCCTCCCCGAACTCCTCAGTCCTTAGGGGGTTGGATGCCTTTTTGGCCCCTGGTTGCCTCTTGCCTATGTGGAGTCTTCAAGGTCAGGGCTGCCCTCCATCCCTCTGCGCCTCAGGCTTACCCCCCGGGACCCTGATACCACGAACGGGGACAGTGCCTGTCACCTCTCCTGGCCAGCCGTGTCCCAGAGTTGCAGCACGAAGCATTTGTTGTCCACCAGCAGAGTTTTGACCCGAAAATCCACTCCTAGGACACACAGAGCTGGGTCAGGCCTGCTTCTAAGTTACCAACCAGGACTTCCAGCCCAAACCTGCGCCCAGGATATACCTGTCCCCGACACCAGCCCCTCTGGCTGCTGGGCTTCCTTCCCCTCGGCTCTCCAAATCCCATCCACACACAAGGGCCCACATCCTCCAACAGGCCTTTCCTGACCACCTAGCCCGTGGGGTTCACGGTCCCCGCTGCACTCCCACACCCTCATGCTCAGTGCCGATTCAAGGCACCTTGCATTGTTTTGACCTCTGTGAATATAGCTGTCTTCCCAACTGTACAGCAATCGTTATTCCTCAGGTCACTCAGGAGAACCAGGGTCACTATTTTGTTTTTATAATACTCCCTGTTTCATTCCTGATTATGGCATGGCTCTTCCCCCTTCAACCAGACAGCAGGGTAGAAACAGGCAGCCCAGGAAGGTGGGGGGAGTGCTGGCTTCGGGGATGACTGATTGCGCTGGGAGCTGTCCACCCTCTGCCGCTGTAAGGGCTGTGTGACCTCAGGCAAATCACTTTACCTCTCTGAGCCTCCCTTTCTCATTTGCAAGGTGACAGTTTAAAAAGACCCACATTGGGGCACGTTGAGCATGCAACTCTTGATCTCAGGGTCGTGAGTTCAAGCCCCACATGGGATGTAGAGCTTATTTGAAAATAAATAAATTTTAAAACTATCTGTAAGAAAAAATAACAATAATAAAATAAAAAGGGCTACATTGCAAGGTGGTTGGGAGGACTGAATGACTCATGTTTGAGGTTTGGCCCAGGGGTGCTTGGGAGGCGATCATTTTCATCATTATTCTCATCTCCCCGAGGCACAGCCCTTCAAAGTTCACAGCCCCCCACCTCGCTGTGGTCATGCCTCCAGACCCTTCCTGTCCCTGAAAATATGAAGGTAATAGTGAAATCCCAGGAGGGTTTAGAAGCTTTGGGGGTGCACCTTCCTGACAACCCCCAAGGAATTCCAGCAGAGTAAGGAGTGATGAGAGGGACTTCTTCTCCATCCCCACTCCCTTTCCTAAGGAAGCCCTGAGGATGCAGAGCCCACCAGAGGCCCCAGACCAGCTGGGGGGGGGGCGGGGGGAGAAGCGGTGCCTCCTCATACCAGCCCTGAGCTGGTAGAGACTTTTCCATCTGCTGCTGCCCCTGTCAGTGGTTGCAACCTTGCCCCCCCCCCCATGCTCTCCGCAGGAAGTGGCAGCCTGGGGGGCCTGACTCAGCAAAATGGCAAAGCAGAAGTTCGTCTGTAGCATCCGCTCCCCTTTATTGCCCTCTTTCCTGAACGTCTTAGGAAGCCCAGGGTCTGCAGGAACCTCTGAGATTATCTGACCGGCCCCCCCCCCCGCCCCCCCCCCCCAATGATAATGCCCAGCCTCGGCTTAAATCCCCACCGTGTAGTCTATGAACGACTCTAACAAGTATGTCTCGCCTTTCCTAACTCCGCCATTAAAGCCCATCATTCCTCCTCCCTACCCACCCCCTCCTCAATCCACCCACGTGGCCCCCCATACCGTCCCCCAAACATGTTATAACTTACCCACACAAATCGCTAAGAATATAACGGTTATCTCCTCCCCAAGGAATCTGCTACTTAACAGGAGCAGCCCCAGGGAGAGAGTCACGCTGAACCCAGCACAAGCTAAAACTTCTGGGGTGAGCCATGTGCCCTGAAGGCAGGAGACCGTGGGTCTGAACTTCGGGCCCCAGCAAGGGCAGGACCCTTAAGCAGGGCCTCACTGATCTGTTTCCCTCATCTGTAAAATGGGGATATGCAAAAGCCTGGCCAAAAATGCACATTCAGCTAAAACTCCATTGGCTCTGGCTCTGGTCCTCCACCCAGCCCTGTTCTCGAATGCCCGCAGGCTAGAGTTCTTATCTTCTGAGAGAGGGGGTGGGAATGGAGGAGGCGAGGCCGAGAGCGCAGCAATGTTCTCGACCCAGGAAGCCAGAATCGGCCCCATTGATAGTGAAGCCCGGTGGATGACCGCCGCCAGGGGGCGCCAAACCGCAGCTGGCGCCGGGCCGACGTGCCTCTCCCCGCTGGATCCCGGGCGCTCCCAGCAGTGCGTGCAGGCTTGTCCTGTCTTTTCACAGTTACGCAACCTGTGCTTTTCCTGATTGAATTCTGTGGAACCTTCTTATCACATAATAATGGGGGCAGGTCAGTTAGATAGGGAGGGCTTTGTAAGGAAGGAGGCTTGGAAGATGCTTTGGCTCACCGTAGGTGGTCAGTAACCAGGACCTTAGGTGATTCAGGCCTTGCAGACCCTGTGACCCTGCCCAACAGCAGACCAGGCCTGCTATGGGTTCTCGGTTCCCCAGGACACTGAATTTTTAAGTGGTTCCCCTGGTGAGGACTCTTAGAGAAAAATCTGAGAACCCATCCTGGAGCTACTGTTGTATGAAGACTATCGTCTACCCACTGGTCTGGCACTGGTCCCCAGTCGGCATGCACTTTGACGACACAAACACATGGACTCCCCCCCATCTCTGTGCCTAAGTGGGCCCCCTCTTCATTCCTGAGCTTGCATTTCTGTGGCTCTATACAATGCCAAATGGTCACAGATCCCAAAGTTTGTAGGTAGGGGAGTCTTTGTGTTTGGGAACATCTTATTTGGGGGGGCCACTGCATTAGACACGATCAAATATTTACTTATAATAATAGCAACAAAAATAATATTTATTGAGCCCTTGCCACATGCCAGATATTCTAAGGGCTTGACATGTAGTAACTGACTCATCCTCACAACTATTCTAGGAAGTCAGTACTCTTGTCCCCGTTATGCAGATGAGCGGTTGGGAGCTCAGAGGGGTTGAATAACCTGCCCAAGTTCATCCTGCTCATCAGTGGCAGAGATGGGATTTGAACTCAGGTATCTGAGTTCCCAACTGACCGTACTCTAGAAATACATTCAATACTCAACTTGCCCAAGGCAACTTCCTGCCAGAGCTTGGCTGCCGGGGCCGGGGCTAATCGTGAACAAAGGCAGCCAGCGTGGACCCTGCAGTGGCCTGCCCACAAGCCATGTGGGTGGGGACTTGCTTGTTTTCACTAGCAACCAGCTCTGGCACCTAAATTGCAGGGTGCTTTGTTGATGTGGCTCATTATAAGCTAATCAGATCAATGCAGCAAAGCAAATTACTTATAATTAGAGATAATTAGTAAAATAGTAAGATTATGCCCATATAAAATAAAGTCTAATGCAGGGGCTGTGGCCAGGACAGAACCTGCAGCTTCCCCGGGAGTTGGCTCTCTGCGGCCCCCTCCGGCTCCTGGGCGCCGGGCCCTGGGTCTCCCCCGCCTCCGCAACCTCGCTCCCCAGGTGGGCCCTTACCCACGGTAGCTGTCAGCCCGGTGGCGAAGGAGTTCTGGTGCAGTAGGTGCAGGAAGGAGGTTTTGCCCACGTTTGAGTCTCCCAGGAAGATGACATGGAAGAGGTAATCAGGGTCGGCGGGAGGCTCGCTGGCGGTGGGGGACCCTGGAGATGAGGTCGGCGCAGCCTCCCTGGAGTCAGTCCCTGGGGCTGGAGGCCTGTGATCTGCCGTGGGCTCCCTGGATTGAAGGGAGCCTTGTTCTTCTGCACGAGCAGTAGTAGGTGAGGCCGTGGGTTGGGCTTCCAGCTCAACCATGGTGGGGGGGCTCTGCGTGTGCTCCTGGGGCCCTGCTCCACCCCCAGGCTGAGCACCCTCCTGGCGAGAGCCCAGGGGAGGTGGCCGTGTGCTAGGAGCTTCTGCTTCAGCCTCAGCCCGTGGTGTGTCACACGGGAGAGGAGCAGGCAGATGATCTCGCTGGGGGAGTTCTGAATGCCCAGCTTTCAGGCCATGAGCCTCACTTGACTGCTCTGAACTGAGGTCTTGCCCTCCTTGGCCCACCTGTTTCCTTTCCTCCACCCTGGGCTCTTCTTCCAGATGCTTGTGGGAAAGGGCAGGCAGCCCATCTGGCCCAAGGACCTGGCCATGAGCTTCTCTTGGCCCCCCAGGAGGGCCCTCCTGCACACCTGGGCCCAGCTGGCCCTGCTCCAATCCCTCTGTGGGAGGCTGACCCACAGGCTCCAGATCCTGGGAGGGCCCAGCCGGCCCTAGTGTGAGGGCTCGGGCTCCTGGGGACCCCTGTCCTGGCTCAGGCCCAGGGACATGCAGGTCCTGATGGAGGGCCTCGCTCTGCCTGGGCCGCTTGTCTGGGACAGGCCCAGGCCCGGGGCTCTTGTCATCTGGTTGTGAGGCCTGGAGCACTTCACTGGGCCCAGCTGGGGCCTGGGGAGGGGGGGAGATCACCTGGGGAGGGGGTGCATCCTCCAAAGGAACAAGCATTTTGAGGGCAGCTGACACCAGGCTCCCTGACTCCTCAGTTGGGGCCCCTGGGAAACTCCAGTGGGGGAGGGCCTCGGGGCCAGGCCCTGACTCCACCTTAGGATCCAGGCTGGGAGGCTGGACAGGCTGCTCTGGTCTGCCGTCCTGCTCGTCCGGGCCCACTCCTTTCCCTTCCGTGGCCCCGGAGGGCGCCCCAGTGGGGCTCCTTGGGGCCCCGGCCAGATCTGAAGGTGCCTCCTGACCAAGCAGCAAAGCATGTGGCTCTGAGATGGAGATCGGCCTGACTACTTGGGGTGTCTGGGGGCCTGGGGTTGGAGGTGGGCTCCAGGAGAGCTGCAGAGCTCTGCGCGAGGAGGTGTTGAAGTCGCTTAGGAGCTGGTCCCAGTCATCCTCCTCCCCAAACAGTCGGGGCAGGGTAGCCTCCTCAGAGGAGACTGCCTGGACGTCTAGAGCCTTCTCGTCACCTGCTCTGGGGACACTAGGAAGGGTTTAGGAAGCTAAGGTCAGAGGAATCTCTCCCAATCGGTAACACCTCACAGTTGACCCCTTTCCCCAGTCTCTGCTCAGGCAGTCCTTCTCACCCTGCATGCACCCCCATTCCTCCCCTTCATCCAATCCTGCCCATCTTTCAGGGCCTATGTGAACCCTCACCTCCTCCAGGAAGCCTTCCCTGACCTTTCTGGTCCATCCCACTCCTATGAGCTGTAACAGGTAGAGTGAGTGTCTGCCTGGGATCTGTTACTACGCTAGACTGTGTGCGCGCGCGCGCGTGTGTGTGTGTGTGTGTGTGTGTTTGAATCCCAGTTGTGGGATTGGGCACATGACTTTCCCCCCTCTCTGTGCCTTAGTTCCCTGGTCTGAGAAGTGGGCCTGAGCATGTCGGCCTGGCAGGATTGTTGTGAAGTTTAAGGAGGGAAACTCTGGGCGTGTTCTGCGTGCTGACCAGGGCCTCAGAGAACTCAGAGCCTCCCTCCCCCGTTTTCGGGAAGCCCTGCTCCCCACCTTGGCCCAGGGGCGGCAGCTACTTGCCTGGGTTCCTCCTCTACCTGCCAGGACGCGTGACCCCTGGCGGCGCTCAGACGCCCCCTGGTCGCCTGCAGCTGCCCCTGCGCCTCCTCCAGCCGCCCAGCCAGGTCACGCTCCGTCTCCCGAAGCTGCTGGTTCTCTGAGTTGGCCTCCTGGTGGGTGCCGCTGAGGTGGTGCAGCTGGGCCTCCAGCTGCGGGAGGTGGAAATGTGAGGAGGAGGGAAGCCCGGGTGGCCTCCAGGGCAACAACCAGCCTCCGCAGGCCACCATGGGGCCTCGACTCCAGGCTCCCGGAGACCCAGCTTCAACAAAGGATTGGGCGGGGGGTTACCCCTTGTTGGCCTAATTAGCTCCGTTACCTCCCATCTGGGAGAGACGTTGGAACTGAAGGAACTGGGTAAGACACACAAACTGCCAGAACCACAAGGGCCCAACATGTAGACGGGATCACACCCTCCTCTGCCCAGAGCGCTGCCCTGGTTGCTCGTCTCTGAACCCCATCTGGTCCACGGGGAGCTCCGGAGCCAACAGCAAGGCACAGGACTCGGGGATGGAACGAGGTGTGAGCACTCAGCAGGGAAGGTGAAGCCCTCACAGTGGCATCCAGTGCCCTGCTCAGTCCCTCCCACCTCATGAGGTCTCTGCCCTCCTCTCCCACTACTCTCCCCTTCCTCGGTCTGCTCCAGCCCACGGGTCTCCCCGCTGCTCCTGGAACCTTCACGGCACACACCCGCCTCAGGGCCTTTGCACTCACTGTTCTCTCCACCTGGACAGCCCTTCCCCAGGTACCACACGGACCACTCCTCGTCTCCTTCAGGCCTTTACTCCAATGTCAGCAACTCAGTGAGGCCTTCCTGGATTCCCCTGTCAAAACCCTCTAGCCCCCTGCCCTGCTTCCCTTCATTCTCCTTAGCACCTTCACTCTCCAGCATGTTATATATTTTACTTGCTTACTTTGTTTATCATCCATCTTCCTGACTAAGGTTATAACTCCGTGGGCAGGGGTTTGTGTCTATCACGTTCCTCAGGACCGAGAACAGTGCCAGGCACTAGAGGACACACCACAAATAATCGCCGGGTGAGGGAAAGAATGACCTCGGGGGGAGAGGCTTCATGTCCACGGGGGACAGGACGAAATGGCCCCATGTGGAAAGGCCAATCTCCTCCCTTGGCTGATGGGGCCAGCCTCAATTTCCAAGGAGCAGCTGCTGCAGAGGCATCTGGAAATCAGCCCGTGTTGGAAAGCTGAGACCAGGTGACGGAGCCAGGCAAGGCAACGGTGGAAAAGTCTCCAGGAACCTTGTCCAGTGCTGAAGGAAAGCTGGTTGCCCTGGTTCCACCACATGGTGGAACTGAGGTCAGTGGTCTGGGAGTTGAGAAAGGGAGAGATGGCGGCGCAGGGTCTCAGACCCAAAGACTGAGCCACAAAGCCAACTGGCAGTGACTATGGGCTACAAGACCTGGGGTGTCGGGGCAGCAGGGAGCTAGGTCAGATTCAGAGACAGTAACAGTTGTGATGGGTAAAGCCCCTACTGTGTGCCAGGCACCACGCTAGGCCCTCAAACATGGTATCTCTAGTCATCCCAGCAGCCTTCTAGGGCAAGGGTTCTGATCTCCGATTCTCTGATGAGGAAACCAAGTCTCAGATGGCTTAAAAACCTGCCCCAGGTCACTCAGTTGACAGTGGAGACCAGAGTTGAACACCACCTTATCACTAAGCCTCTCCGACACTGGGACCTCATGTTTGCCCAGTGCCTTCCCGTTTCAATGTGCTTTCCCCTTCATTACGTCATTTGACCCAACTAGCCTAGGAGATGCAATAGATGTGGCTAGTCCCATTTTACAGATGGAGAAACTAAGGCCAAGACAAGCAAAGTTATTGCCTCAGATTTGCATGGCTCTTAATTGGAACAGCAGGGATTTGAACCTGGATTTTCCCGGCAGTCCCTCTGCACTCCCTGGCCTCATCTCAGAAAAGGGGGCCCAACCACCCCCATGAATTCTCAGAAGATGGGTGTCAGAGTGTGCAAATTCTCAGAAATTGGGCTCCCAGGCAGGCGTTCTTACTCACCTCCCTCTGGCCCTCCGTCAGCCGTTGAAATTCGCGCTCCCTGGCCTCCAAGACCGCCTGCATCTGGGAGCTGAAGGCCAGGTCCCGGGAGTCGCTCTGGGGAGCAGAGAGGTTTCAGCCCCTGAGCTGCTGACTTAGTCCCCGCAAGGCCGGACCAGCCCTCCCCACACTCCACCTCCACCCAGGCCTGGGGCACAGGGTCCGGGATGCCCCGGCAAGGCCAGATCTCAGGACAGCTTCCCTGGCTCAGGCCAAGATGTGGCACCAAGATGGAGGCCCAGAGAGCGAGACCTGGCCGAGATGGGCAGGGGACTGAGGCCCAGCGCTCCCCCCGCGTCTCTCTGAGGAATGCCAGCCGGGCAGGGGGTGAGAGGGCCTTCCCCCAGCGGCCTCCTGCTGTCCCGCACTGGCCAGTGCCCGGACCCACTACTCAGCCAGCAGAGGGGCCCAGGGCCGGGGTCAAGGGCGGGCTGCCAGGGGAGGCCACCTCGGCCTGCAGCTGCTGCTTCTCCCGGCGGATCTGCTGCTCCATCTCCTCATAGAGCTGCTGGACCTCTCGGTGGTGGTCGGAGTCCCGCCTGGAAGGGGAGGGGGCAGCGGGTGAGCGCCCGGGGACCCTGCTGCTGGCAGGGGTGGCCTGGGCCTGTGTTTGGAGTCCATCCTGCTGCTCACCTCACTCTGCCAGTGGTCACTGACCCCTGTCACCCTGAGAGCAGTCATCCCAACAACAGCCCCTGATGCATACGCCCTTGACATTGGTCATCCTGATCCCATCATGCTGACTCCCGTAACCCTCACCAAGATATTGGTTCCTGTGGCCCCGTCCCATGGTCCCAATTGCCCCATCACCCTGTCCCCACTTCCCGCTGTCTCCATCCCCCACCCCCAAACCCAGACCCCGGGGCAGGGCTCTGTCCACGCCCACCCCGGGGTCGCTGCATGCTTTGTGATCTACATGAGCAATGCCCCCGGAGGTGGGGGCCACAGTGGCCCTGCGCCGAGACGCACTGACCATTCCCACTCCCACTCAAGGCCCATCTCTGTCCTCTTCAACAGGTCCCCTAAGCCATCCCTTCTTCCAGCTCAGCTCCGCCCACCGGCTCCCAGGTCTGCCGTGGACCCCTGGGCTCCAGGCTTCTGGAACTGAGGGAATTCCCCTCACGTTCAGCTAAAATGTAAGGAGCACATACTCCATGCCAGACATCAGGTGGCCGCCCCCCGCCCCAACCCCGGCCCCACTCACTTCCTCAGGGTCAGCTCCAGAACCTCCTTGTCAGCCCGCGCCTCCTGCAGGCGGCTGCTCATCCTGGCCAGAAAGCCCTCCAGGTTGCCTGCCACCTGGGGTTCCTCCTGCCGCAGCTTCCCCCACAGCTGCCAGATGTCCGCCTGCCTGGGGAAGGGGGACAGCCAGACATGAGGTATGAGGTGGGACCCAGAAGCAGGGGGGCCCACTTCTCCATTTTAAGGCAACACTCCAAGAGACTTGGGCACCTGGGCCACAAAAATCTGTTTATACCCTACAAGGTACAACTCCGGTTGCCGCCTCCTCCAGGAACCTTTCCCAGATGTGCCCTCTCCCTTCTTGAACCCCCACAGCACTTTGTCTCTCCATGCTTTGGTGATGAATTATGGCAGGGGATGGGGTGGGGTGGAGGAATTGGGAGACTGACAACCCAGGGCTGCCATCTGCCTTCTCTCTTCTCCCACTCTGTAGCTGTGTGACCTTTGGCAACTCCCATGCCCTCTCTGGGCTTCTTTGTACAATGAGGAGGCGGATATCTGCCCGGTAAGGTAAGGTCACTGCAGAATGAGACATGCCCAGTGACAGCCCCAGCTTGGGGCCTGGCACATGGCTGGCACTCAATTAATACTGCTTTCACCTGGATTTCATTAAGTCATGAAGACAGATGCCAGAGGGCTGAGCCCAGGCCAAGCTGCCAAGTGGGTAACTGGTTCCCCACCACACCCGCCCCCCAGCTGGTACCCTAAGTCCTGCCCGGCATGCCCTACGACACTCGGCCCCACCCTCTGAGAGCTTGTCCTCACAGAGCCTGTAGGGACCACAGGCAAGGGTGAGTCCCTCGCTGGCTCTAAGAGACCCGGGGGGCCCTGGAGGGGTGTGAGAGGGGCATTTATAGGAAGGGGTCCCCTTTCTCTGGGCCTGAGTGAACCCCATGAGCCCAGAGCCTGAGACAGTTTGGAGGAAATGCCCTCCCTGCCTCCAAACCTGCCCAACCCAGGGCATCGTTGTACCTGAATCACTCCACTGGGGGACCCTCTTTTTCGGTTAAGAAAGGCCCCCTCAGGCAGTTGTGTTTTTAAGAACGTGAGTGCCCTTGGGAGGCTGATACCCCAACCCGCTAATCCTGCGGAACAATCATATAGGGCAGGACGGGGAGAGAGCGGGTGGGGGTGGGAGGGACTCCTCACAAAGACACTCTCCACACGGGCTCCATTTAATCTCATAACTGTCCCTACGATCACACTGCAGCTGGAAGACAGACGTCAAAGGTTAGGCCACTTGCCCATGGTCAACAGCTAACACGTGGCCAAACCAGGATTTGTACCCAGCTCTACTTGGTGGCCTCCCACCTCGGCACTGTGTCCAGGTGAGTCCTCCGCCCCCACTGACCGCCCCACTGCCTGCCCCTGCCCCCCACCCCACTCCCACCCCTCCACACGCAGCGCTGGCCTTACTCCGGAAGTAAGTGGCCTGCCCCCAGCTGCTGGATGAAGGCAAGGAACGCCTCCTTCTCCTCAGGGTCAGCCTCCTCCAGCACTGGGAAGCTGGTGGCTGCAGATTCTCTCTTGGAGGACAGTGGCCTCTTTCTGTGGAGCCTGTGGGTGCTCAAGCTGGAGCCAAAGATGTTCTCTGGGGGACAGAGGGGGACAAAAGGCAGCAGAGTGGGGTGGGGCTCAGCCCCCTGATCTCCCATCTGGCCCTGCTCCAGCCCTTGGGGAAATAATTGTATCTGTGTTGGTCACATATATACAGGCTCACATTCATACATTCATTATATCGTCCTTGGGAATCTACTCAAGGTTGACATTCTGCCCATTTTATGAGCTGTAAATGCAGATTCCTGGCCTCCCTCTCCGTTGTCCCCCAAACCTTTGGAGACTCGGCAGACCTGAGAACTCTGGATGGCTTTGCAGACATTTAAGCCTGAGCTGTGCTTTGCAGGGTCTCAGCAAGGACATCACACCTTCCATTCCCTGGGCGGGCAGGTCAACCCGCATCGAGAAGATCAGTGGGAATATTGTGCCCTGCTGCCCTTGGCCTTTTTAGGTCCTTTTGGGCCTCTTGAGAAGCCAACTTTGGAGTGGCCCTCCCCAAAACAGGGCAAAGGGCCTGGGAAGCCCCCAACCACTAAATATCATCCTCTGCTGCTCCCTGGGGCCTGGAATTCCCTTCACCAAAGCCAAAATGTGACCTTTCTCAGGCAGAAACAAAGCTTGTGGTCTCAAGAGTGGGGCTTGCTTAACCTCTTGTTCAAGAGAGCCTTTTGTTGGGGAGAAGACAAGTAAGGCATCAGAAAGTAAGCCTGGAGGTCTCCCTGGAGGAGGGGGCTGCTAAGAGGAGCCCTGCCCCCCCCAGCCAATGAACTGCTCTTGCTAGTTGGAAAGGAAGCGAGTGGGTCTCCTGGGCTAGAGTCTTAAGGCCCAGCCCCGTCTTAAACCAACTGCCTGCCCACACAGGCTTAGTATGCCTATCTCCAGTACAATCATCATCCATGCCCTGAACTGCTCTCGGGGCTGTTGTGGAGGTGCCCTGTTGCCTTTCCTGTCCGCCCAGCCTCCCCATACTGGGTACACTGCATGGGATGCCTGGCTGGGCGGCAAGTCCCCAGAGACCCTCCCAGGACAGACATACTGAGCCCAGAGCTGAATTCTTCCAGGGATAGGCGTCCCTTCTGCTCCACATCCACCCAGTCAAAGATCATCTCCAGCTCCTCCGCACTGCCCAGGAAGCTGAACTTGGCTGCCTGCAAGGAAGAGGTAAGTTGGCACTGTTCCCACTGGGGAGGACTCTGGGCCACCCTCCAAAAAAGAGAGGTGTTTGTCTTCAGACACCCCTACCTCCCCTCTCCCCAACTTTGGAGTCCCAGCCCCAAGCTGACCCAGGGCCTACCCTGGAGGCTTTGCGACCCCCCCCTAAGATGGCCCTCTCAGCAGGGCCTTGAACTCCCTCTGCACCTTTCCCCTTCCTCCATCCAACACTAGAACTTAACTCTTCTGAGTCTCATCCCTTTAGGATCCTAATAAAGGACAGTAGCTAATCCTTCCCAGGATGTGTTTATCAGTATCCCAAAAAATTATCTGAAATTTGAGGATAAGTCCAAAAGGTGGACAGCACAGTCTTTCAGCATTCCATGCGGGCAAAGTTTACCCAAGCATCGTCTGGACTATGGGAATGTACTTCATTCATTTCATCCCCTGGGACAGGCTGGAAGTCCCAGACTAAATGAAGTCACCTATTAACTTGTAGATTTTGTCCAGGAGAGATGTAAATAATTTTTGTCTGCTGGAACAGATAACCTCAAAGATTTATGGCCTGTTGTACATTAACCAGCTTTGAAAAAATCTAACTCAGCCATCTCGGTTCAACACTTTTTGTTATCCATTTTTTTTAAATGCTCTTTCAACCATTCATGGTAACTCTCGTTAATGGGCTAAATAAAATCTTTGAGAGGGATTTATTTTATTTTTGCCCAAGGGTCATGATGTTATCTTTTTGAAAATTATACTTAAGAGTTTTGGAGGGGCGCCTGGGTGGCTCAGTTGGCTAAGTGTCTGCCTTCGGCTCAGGTCATGATTCCAGGGTCCGGGGATCGAGTCCCACATCGGGCTCCCTGCTCAGCAGGGAGTCTGCTTCTCCCTCTCCTTCTACCCCACCCCCTGCTTGGGCTCTCACTCTCTTTGTCAAATAAATAAATAAAATAAAATCTTTAAAAAAAAGAGTTTTGGACATTTCATGGAGACGCCGCAGTAAACTCAGCCATCAGAACCAAGTAACATGGGTGCTGAAGAAGGGCCCCTCGTGGGCTGTGGGAAACCCAAGCACCTCCTCCCTTGGCTCTTGGAGAGAATCCCACGTGTGACAGAACTTTAGGTTTGCTGTTTATTTTGTTGTTTGTCTTTTTTTTTTTTTTTCTTGCTGATTCTGTGTTTTCATTTTTGGTGGCAGCAATGATGGGGAATTCCATTTTATGGACTGGCCATAGGTGATCTCTGTGGGATGCATGATGGAGACCTAGTGTCTGTTGGTTGAGAGGCAACCAAAAATCTGATTTGCTGATCTTTGTTGTTGGTGGTGGTGGTGGTTTTTCCATATGTGCTCCGAATTGGTGAAGCGTTTTGTGTTCACTAGGAAGAACAACTCTTTGAGATCTGGACTGGTGAGTTTTGTGTGTCTGTGTTTACTTTTGACCTGTGGCCTGGAACTGAGGGTATGAAGCCACTGGGTCTGTGTATCTGTGTGTCTACACATCTGTAATTCAGAAAAGCCTTTAACTCTTCTGTGAGTGTGAAATACTTTCCTACATCTGGAGGGTATTAATGACTTGAGTACTGTGTCTTTTACAGGGGTTCTGTGTTGATTGGTTTGTAGAGACAAATAAGTGCTTATATAAATTTAATGTTCCCCCAAATCACATAAAATAAAGAAACTGAACTTCTAATGCTTTAAATGTGCTAAACTTTAAAAGAAAAAATCCCTCTTATGAGAAATTGGCAGCTCAGAAAACTTTTAAGGAGCCAGGTTAACATAATTAATGTAAATCTTTAGATAAATTAGATTGGTTTAATTTTGTTTATAAAATGCAAATAATAGCTATCAGTGTTTTCTTTGCTTTATATTAACTATATATAGTTAATTATAATACAATTAAACATTCTACTTTTTATAAGATCTGGATTTGTTTTATGTGAAAAAACTATTTAATCTGAATTTCTTACACTTCTGATTTTGTCTTACTGATCAAATAAGCCAACATTATCCTTACATATGTTTTAAGATAAGAAAAATGTAAAATTGTGTTCAACTACATTGATTCATTACACAGTTCCAAGATCCTTAGGTAACTTTAAAAATGTGAATTAATTTTAATTAATAAATAATTTTTGGCTACCTGGACAATTTCTGAGAAAAACTGAAACATTGATTGCTAAGCATAATTTTAAGTTTATATCCTTTTACTTCTTATTTTTACATGCAAGAGAGCAGCTATAACTTTGGGCCATGTTAATGAATGAATTCATTATGGCCACCTTATTTTTTTTTTTTTTAAAGATTTTATTTATTTATTTGAGAGAGAATGAGACAGAGAGAGAGCACGAGATGGGGGAGGGTCAGAGGGAGAAGCAGGCTCCCCGCCGAGCAGGGAGCCCGATGCGGGACTCGA